CTTGGTAAGGTCCCCCACCTCCATTTTCCCTCCAGCGACCTTGGTAATGTTCACCCTGTCCATTTTCCCGTCAGCGACCTTGGTAAGGTCCCACCACCTCCATTTTCCTGTTAGTGACCTTGGTAAGGTCCCCCACCTCCATTTTCCCGTCTGCAGCCTCTGGTAACGCCAACGGGATTTGCCTCACAGCTAAAATGGTGACCGGGACTCCCTCGAAGGGGCTCACTCCGTCCCTCCTCACACTCCTTCTCCTCTTCTTACACTCCTCCTCCCCTTCTCACATTTGTCTCCTCCTTGCCCCTGAAACAACCCTCCTTGGGTGACAGGACTTACCGTTCTCTGGATGCGTCTTAAGCAAAATGGACACTAGGTCAAATGAGAGAAAAGCCGGTATGAGCCAGCCTCCTTGCTGAGTGGCTGAATGGAGTGCGCATGCGTGCTTGGTGTTTTCCGCGCATACTTGGTTTCGCTATGTGACTGGGGGTACGTGAGCTCTAGCAGGGCAGTAACTAGCCGAAGCTTTTCTGGTTTTCCCTTCATAACCTCCCATGAACTGCTGGGATGCTAGGATATTTGAGGCCACCTACTTTCTAGTTTATTAAATTTATAGCAGGGTTGCCCTCCAGAGACCCTGAATTCTCATCCCAGAATATAGCAGATTTTTATTTATTTATTTTATTTTGTTTGTGTGTTTTTTCCTGGCCTGTACAGACACAGAAGCATATATATAAATAAATACAAATAAATATAAAATATTGTTCAGTATTTTAAAAAATATAAGGAAATGAGTCAAATATGAAAAGCTCTTCGCTTCTGAACAAGCACTATGTCAATATTCATAGAAATATTTATGTACTATCTAACATGTCTCTGGATTTTTCATACTGTACCTGTCTCATGCATGTTGGTTTGTTACTCCCCATTCAGACATATAAAGTGTGTTGATATAATGTACTTGTGAAATTATGTACCTGTATAATTCACATATATAGATGTATATAAACATATTGTATATATTAATTTTCATGAGAAATGTAATATATATGTATACATTTTAGCACATTTTCAGGAAATATGTTACATATATGTATATGTATTTATATGTTTCATTATATATTAATTAATCATATGATATAAATCACATACCTCAGGAAAATTAATTAAACTTCAGGTAATTTTTCATTTCTTTCTACAGGTTCTAATAAAAGAATAAATTATTTCTAAGTAGGAGTATTTCACTAAATCCTTTGGCACAGCCAAAATTTAATAGTACATAGAAAAGTTGAGTCAGTTGAAATATACAAATTATTTATGATATTAAATTTACTGTTTTTACTCTGTCCATACTGTTATGTAAAAGACATTAAATACTTTATATGGCATCTACCATTTTCTCAATTAATATATTTCCTGAATGAACATGAATTACTTTTAGAATCATAATTTTTGTAGTTATTTTGAAGGAAGAAAATGTAATCTTCACTGTCTTCCAAGAAATATATGTCAGTACTGTGATGGTCTGGTAATAGTTGTTTATATAAAAAAAACAGAACAATTTTACCTGAGATTCCAATATTCAGCTGATAATATTTTCCAAAGTAATTTACCAGAATATATAATCAGAAATGATATACACATGGCTTTAAAAATACCAGCAAACTTACATTTGCTTTTTATTTTCCACACTTGTTACATCTGGGAGCAACTCTCTTTGGAAATAGTTGCAGAGTACATATGTGTCCTTCTTTCTTCTCAGGAAGGGAATTATTAATGTTTTCTATATTGAAATTAAAGGTCAATATTTTAAAAAAACATCCATGTTTTAGAATTTTCAGTATTTATAAATATGGCTAAAGATTATCAATTATACTTAAAATTTAAATTTAAATATAACATCAACATGGTGCATAAAAAGTTTCATATGTTTGCTTTGTGGTAGTGGCACATGCCTTTAATACCAGTACTCGGTAGGCAGAGACAGGCGGATCTCTGTGAGTTTGAGGCCAGCCTAGTTTATAGATGATTTTCAATGTTGCAATGGTTTTTCCTCCTGGACTTAAGCTCCTGGAAAAAATGACTCAGAGACTCAAAATATTTATTTATAAATGCATAGGTCATATAGCTAGACTCTTCTCTGAATATCTCATAATTTACAATAACCCATTTTATTAATCTACATTCTCCTACATGGCTGGTTATCTGTGCTCAGGTACCATGCATCCAACCTCCTCACATCTAGCTGGACAAATCTCCTACACCTGGCTCTGTTCCAGAATCCTTTGTGCTTGCCATATATCTCACTTTCAATTCTAACTATCTCATAGGTCATAGTTATTTTAATTGACAGTATATGCATCCATGCAATACACAAGATATATTCTAAACTGCAGCTAGGGCTACATAGAGAAACCCGGTCTTGAAAAACCAAACCAAACCAAACCAACCAAATAAAAAATATACCAAAGTTTCATATTTTACAGTACTTTGAAATTTACATTTTCAGACTAGGGATGTATAACCAGTGAACTCAATGCAAATAAAACAGAAAAACCTCTGATACATGAAATATGTTTGGACCTATATATTTTGCATAAGAAATTTCCAAATTCACCTCAGTTCTGGTTTTTCTAATGGAAGATAATTTTAAAATTGAGACTTGATAATAAAGGACCCAGGAGAAAAACAGAGTCAAGAATGAACTCTAAGTGCTTTCCAAACAAAACTTTGGTAAAAGGGAAATATTTCAGGAAGATGATGCAGCCAGCCTTGATGAGACCTGATGTGCTAGAGTCACATAGAACGGGAGGAGGATCCCCCCAATTTGGGGACTAGGGAAAGGCCTAAGGGAGAAGAAGGAGTGTGGGTGGGACAGAGAGAAGAATAGAGAAGGTCCTGCAGCTAGCATACAAAATGAATACATTGTAATAAATAAATAATTTTATATATATATATATATATATAACACTGTCCAACTGAAATGATACAGTGAACTTACAGATTGTGATTAGAAGTCAAACTTTATCCATAGAAATGATCCTAAAAGTACAATTTTAAAACTCATACAGTCTTATACCTCAAGCTTTAAAATACACAAAAATATTCTTAAAAATCACAATCCAATAGCCAGGCAGTAGTAGTACATGCCTTTAATCCCAGCATTTGGGAGGCAAATGCAGGTGAATCTCTGAGTTCAAAGCCTGGCTGGTCTACAATGCAAGTCCAGGACAGCCAGAGCCTTACACAGAGAAACTTTTTATCAAAAACAAACAAACAAAAAACACCCAAGCCTTTTTACATCAAATATATGTAAAAGATGGTCAATAATAATTTTAAATATATTTTTAATAAAAAAAAAAAGACCAAAGATGAAAACTAGTTTTGGTATGGTGAGATATCTTGGTGGTTAAAATGCCTATTGTGTTTGTTTGTTTTGGGTTTGTTTTAGTTATTTCAAGACAAGGTTTCTCTGTGTACCCTCTGCTGTCCTGGACTTACTTTGTAGACCAGCCTAGACTTGAACTCACAGAGGTCTGCCTGCCTGTGCCTCCCAGAGTGTTAAGATTACAGACATGTGTCACCATGCCAGCTGAGGCCCTTAATTTGAATTCTCACCACATAAAACCCAGGTCTGGTGTGTGTCTGTAACCACAGCACATAGGGGTAGGGA